ATATAGCTCTAGTGTGCGCCGGGCTTTATGTAAAACCATCACCCATAGAAAAAATGTGGTTAACTTGTAACTTCCTTGTCCAGGCGTCTGAGTACATTTTACATAATTATCAGAAGCATATCCCCCTCTACCTCAGGAAGGGTAAAATACCATCCTCTGGAGAATAGGAGTTGTGCAGATCTTTTCTGGAATGACCCATCTGGGTAAAGTATTGGGTATCATAAATACAGATTATATAACACAGAAAAAACAAAATTTTCATTTTCTATAAAGTACAACTTTAATATACATTTGTCAAGAGAATTTGACAGCTCTCACTATAAATCAACCAATCATGTAATTAATAACTCGCCTTAGATCATGTTTTAATACATGCAAACAATGGTACTTGTATATAACACCTGACCAGGAAGTTATGCAATAGACATTTCATGAAATGCAGTCAATATACACACAATAATTATACAATTCCAGTCAAATTTTCCAGAAATTAGACAATATTAGAATTTCTAATGATACATCCTGGATTTTATATAAAACACTTATGAATGATTGAAACATTAGCGGCGGAAAAATAAATTAAACCCATTGAGTGTACTAAATACATAAAATACAATTTACAATTTTATAATATTGACATAAAATATAAAATGAAAACATGATATATTAATAACAATGAGGGAATAGATTCTTTTGTTTGATTCACAAATCAAAGTCAAGCTGTTCAGACCTGTTTTAACACGAACCGTTTCTTGCATAACATGTCTAATAAAGCTGTATAAATTTAGAGTTTAACCAAAACTCAGTAAGCATTGCCATGCGGGCAAAAATTGCAGGTTGTTTATAAACTAGTTAAGTTTTAAACTTGCTACAGCAATGTGAAAATAACTTGGCAGTATTAAAAGGCTTCATATAACTAACTCTAGCGTAACAAAGTCTTTTATTTTCGTGTATATTGGGGCCGAAGCATGTCCATATGTATACAACCATATATTAATCAGTCATATATGCGGTGCTACTACATCTATTGAATCGGTTATAACTCATAGAATATAACGTGCAGGCTTTGAATAATTACATACACGTATTAAACAACATACCTTCGAGCTTTTGGCTAGCTCGGGAAGAGAATTCCTAGTGATTTTGTCACGTAAAAGTTGATTCACCAAAGTAAAACATTCGGGCAAATTTCAGCAAGACGGAAGGAGGAGGACACCATTGCGCATGTCTTCACGGTACGCGTGGCACGATGACGTCTTGCGTGGGATACACTCGGTACACACGCAGTGTTTCTTTGAAGAAAATTTCCTTCTTCAAGGAAATTGGCCTTTTTTGAAAATAAAATTCTGTTCTTTCCAACCTAGTGAATTTTCCCAAAACAAAAATATCTAGAAAAAAAGAAAAGGCCCTTGGCGTATGCTGCATTGTTCCCAATTCTAACCAATTCTTCACTGCTTGGAAAGCTAGGAAATTTTGTAGTAATTTTTTTGAAATTCCTCAATTTCTATTGTGGAAACACCATTCATAGTCAATGTTGCAAAGTCAGCAGAAATTTAACAAAAGCAGATCTTTAAATTTTTTTCAACGAGGGTATTGTAAATAACGCAATAAAATGGCCAAAAGCGGCAATAAAAACACGACAAAAGCTAAGAAAGATAAAGTACAAGTAAAATCTGGCACAGGAGCGATCATGAAAGCGAAAGATAAACGAAAAAAAACGGCTGCTTTGAAAAAGGTCGGGCTTGGACTCAACACGTGTTGTTTGAATATTTAGTTGAGATTGAGTTTTGTACTTTTTTGTACAAATTAGATTAACTCTTCAAGTGGCATTGCGCCCTAATTTGCCCATTTGTTCTGTCTAACGCCAGATGATTTTACTCGTCAAGGGAGAGTGCTGGCACTCACTGGGTTAATATTCTCTGGGATACCTGCCAAATATTGACTACCAATGATCAACCATCTGTTGCATGATGGTTCTTAGCGAAACCCATGTTGTCACCTATTGGTCAGTCAATTAGGTAAACATAATTGGCCAAATAGTCAATCAGAATGCAACCTGTCAAATGATGCTGACAAACTAGAAAGCCTCTTATTCATCTTCTGATGCAAAGGGATTTGACTTAACATGTGGGTGTTTGTTGCAGGTTACAGGTTAAGGCGAATGTTAGAAGGGGCACTGTCCAGTCATGGGATCAGCAAGGGCGCCCCCCCCCCCCCCCTCCCGCATTGGATAAACAGTATGAGGGCAGCAAGTTTCCTTTTTTACCAGAACTACACTCTGAAAGTTGTGTGTTATTTGTATGAATTGAAACTACGGCTCAAATTCGAATCTGAAATTCCTTTCAGAAATGTAAAATGGTTGCTCTTACCACTTTGTGTTAGTTCTGGATCCTCCTGAATGTTAGGGTAATATTACGAGATTACACAACCAGTTTCCAAGTCATTTGTTAATGACATCACCCACTACAAGTATACAAACACCATGCAGTGAGGTTGTCAACCCTAATGCAAAACACAGCATTGAAGTATGTTGTTTTAAATTTTTTTATCTTTTAGGTCAAAGAAAAGTTGGGGCAAGAAATTCAAAATGCAAATGCTGAGTTTTCTGAACTGCAATCAAAGATGATCTCTGAAAAAGAAAATAAGACAATTGAAAATGAAAAATCAAAAGAAACAGAATTTTCAAAGGTCTGCACACATTTGCTGGGTTTTGTTGTAATCACAGATCAGATATCAACTGGTATCACCATTGGATGTCTTAGTTTTAGCCATGGCAACTGGTCATGCTGTGCCCCCCCCCCACTCACCCACAATCTAAACGGTATGCCTCTTACTAAAATAAAGTAACACAACTTGCCACTGGAATGAGTAATATCCAGTAAAAATTATATTTTGTTAATTTTATAGGTATCAATTCCACCGCCAACTGTATCACAGGAGAAACAAGTAGAAGAGACTACAAATGTTCTAGCAAATTTATAAATTGTTAATAAATTGAAAATTAACAGGAATACAAGAATCATCCTGTTGTTGTATGGACCACAAAAATAGCATAATTAATATATTGCGTGGTAACAAGTAATTTTATTTATATTTATATTTGTAACATACCTAAATATTTTTCTTGCTGTAAAGTGAAAAACACTATGCGACTAACAATTTGACACTATCGAAAAACAATGTATTTTGATCAGTTAATGTGTGCATAGACAAAACATTATAAATATTTAGTATCGGTAGATTATATTAACTGCAAATGTAATTTATTATCATTGACATTGTACAGTATAAATGTTCATATGTATTTGTATAGCAAAATAAAAATAATTTTATAAAATTTTGTGGTGTCAATATAACAATTTAAGTCTGTCCTTAGAGAATATTAAATAAAAGGCAACAGAAAATATTTCCCTTTAATAGTAACACATTTCTTGCATTTATTTTTATTCCAAGATATTACAATTTAGCGGGGTTAAAATTTCGGTTAGAATTTATGATTTTAAAAAGGGGTATATAGTTATATTATTCACCAACAGATATCTGTTTACACGAAAAAAAAACTGGAACTATATAGTGCGTGCAATCCGTGCTTTATTTTTTGATTGACCTGAAAAAATGTTTAAGGTATTCACACTACTGGCTTAAATATAACAATTCACAAAAATTTGTTCAGCAGAAATTTTTGTGAATTATTTTTAAAATCGTTGATTTTGTGGACGTTGAAGATTTCTAGCCAATGAGGGTTCGTGAAATTCAGCCAATTGTCATTCTGGTAAACTAACCAATAGTTATTCAGCAGAGTACCACGTTGAGGTCCGGCTTTGGCGCCTTTTCAAAAAACAATTAATTTGGTAGATTTTGGCCATATTCAAACGATGTTTGGCTTTCTGCACGGGCCAACGGCCGAAACAAATTTTCCGTCACAAAAAATTTTAAGTTGAAAGTTTTCAATTTTTAACAATGATATTTTCTGTCCATGGAAATTTTTCTTGAGTGGAAATAGTCTCTACAACCTTAGAGCGTGGTATTATAATTTGTATCGGATCAGTTATCATCGCAGTGCATTATAGGAAACTTCATTGTTCTAAGATTTGCAAGTCAGATATTTTATCATTTGTTATTAAGTAACCGCAAAAAACTATAAATCAGTCTCTCAAAATATCAATATATTTGCTGGAACCCAATTTGAAGAAACTTAATAACTTTGAGTCAGCCCACGGACCCTCGCCACTAGTGTTCTAAACTGACCAATTTCTTACCAAAAACAGGCGAAAAATTTTGTATTTTATAAATAAATACTCTGCCCACGGTGGGCTGTCTTTCTGCGTTTCTATGTTCTTCAAGTGGCATAAAAAATCTTGTGCTATCAAATTCTTTGCTAAGTGTTTTCAATTCTTGTGGTATATATACTGAAGCCGGCAAACTACTTCAGTTCTTAGTACACAGTCAACATTTGCCTATCGACCAAGTAATTCCATCATTGAGTAAATCAGTAAACAACAGACAATGAATAACTATATTCATTTATACATTGTCGCTAAAATTGTATAACCTTAGACATATTTCACATTGTTATCGGCTCTGAAAGAGCTTTTGTTCTGCCGATTCCTTAGATGTAAACACTTGAAAGTTATACTTTATGAAACATTTAAGTTCTTGTGAGTACTCCAAAAAAAGCAAATTCCTGAGTTAGCAAACGGTTGTTTGCATATAAATTCATTAGCAACGTAGCAGCTGTCTGTTCTTGAGGTAGATAACGCGCATTTTAACGAAGTAATTATCAAATGAACTCGGGACTTCTGTTTGCCAACATCCCTGCAAGAGCTCAATCACTGAAAGCGAGACAGACTGTCAACAATAAGCTCACAGCGTGTGAGCCGTGTTTGATTTTGAACAGAAACTTATTTAGGCAAAAGTTTAAACAACGAAAGCATGTCGCAGAAGGTAAGTAAATCTGTTTATTTCGTTTGCTATTGTGCGGTGAATTAAATTCACTTTCTAATTCGAATATAACGTGACAGTTGGAACAGTGTCTGTATACTAACTTTTATTGAATAGTGACTTATAGTGTGTGGGAGCTTTAAGTACAAATATCTGCATAAGCATTCCTAATCCAGTCTGTTGCAGCCGGTTGCTGTCTCTTTGACTGAATAAACTGAAGCGACGTTAAAACGCAGATGATTTAATTTCAGTCAGGCTCACGTTAATATGTCATAAAACATCGGAAACATAGCCATCTGCCAGAAACGGTCTGTACATTTTAGGAAAACTTAAAATTGTATTCGGTCAAATGGCAGACTGTGTGTACAAATATTGTTGAATATGAGATTAAAATGGAAGTACATTCATAACAACGATTTGTCAATTAGTCCACGTTAATGATATGTGAGTCATGATGAAACGTCATCACAAAACATTGCTATCTGATAGTCGATCGGTCAGTTAACATTTCAGGATTGAAACCTGTGAATCTACTACTGTTAAATCGCAGTGTGTAAACGGCGCGCTTTTTCACTTAAAGATGTCGTGGGCAAAAGCCAAAAGTTGCTGTGAAAAATAATTGTATCGCCAATATTGTCCTATACCTATATCCTAAGAGCAGATAGGCTCTGCTCTCCATGTCACTCCAAAATCATCCTTACATTTTTGCATGGATGCATGCAACATTGTTGGGCCAGCATGTTTGAACATCGTATCACCTAGTCCTGACCATGCTTGTTTGGTATCTTTGCTGATGTTGGATCCAGCTTGAGTGCTTGACTATTCAAAATTTTTATACCACATCGTCCAAAATTGTTGGAACTGCATCGTTCAAAATTGTTGGACCTTCAACAAAGAGCTACGAGAATAGATGTAAAGTATAAAATAATATTAATGCATGAATACATGACCTGAGCTAGGCAATTTGCATGGACACCGAAGCTGAGACGATCTATTTCTTGTTTTCCCATAGTTAAGCGAACTTGAAAAAGAATGGCTGTTCAGTTTTGCATCTGCTGAGAGCAACATAAAGAATGTAAAAAGTCTACTAGAGAAAGATCCCAACCTCGCAACCAAAAAGGTTCACGGTTTGTTGCTTCGAATAACTTTATGTTTGTGGTAATATATATACATGATAAAATTACTACTGATTAGCCTTTCTCACGCCGCCATTTTTGGGTGGTGGCATTTCAGCCGAAGTCTGCGAGATAAGTCCACATAACAGCGACTTTTTATAATTTTTTGAACGAATGATGGTAAATTTGCTTTGTAAACGTTTAGTTTTTTTTTGAAAAATTGCTTTTCACATTGTTTTACTTAAATTGTCTGCATTGGTTAACGAGAATTGGATGCCACTCAAAAATGGCGGATATTCGTCGACAGTGTAATTATTGAGTACAGTGCCGGTGCCAAAAAGTAATTCAGTGCAAAAATTGCAATCCAGTGCCAATACGTGGCAGCGCCCAAGAGCAAGATCTAGACACGTCGGTTTGGTTCGGCATAATTTTTTCATGTATATTATTGATACTATGGTTTCTCGTATAATTTGAAAAAAAGACATACACTCAATTCTTGAGTTTTTAGAACACTTCAAATTGCACTTGTCCTCCAGACTCTGCAATTTTGTTAGTCTTTGAAAACTCTCTATAGTGCATGATTTCCCAAAAGGCTGAACATGATAATACTCTCTATTAATAATATTAATATATTTCATTATTGAATGTAATTTATTTCTGATATTTTTATGTGAATTTGTTGCAACTGAATCAGGATTTTGTTTTGGTAAGCTGAAGTAAATTTAAAATAACTTACCATAAATAGCATAGTTGCCTTTGTCTGACATACAAGTAACTGTGTTTTTCCTTTTTCTCTGTATAAAATGATGAATTTTAACTGAATACATTCCTAGGGGGTATGTATGAATTTTAAAGAACCATTTGTCCATTTTAAAGCCGAATTGTTAACATCTAAATTATTCATTTTTTGTTTTTATTTATCGTTTTAATGAATGGTATGGTGACCAATATAGTACGTAAGTGATTTACAACTCATCTATGATATTGAATTTTTTTTTGTAAAAAATCTCTTGTAATATATTTAACCTCTGATATTTAACCATATATAGGCTTGAATTTAGATCTAATTTATACACTGCTTTTATCAGACAGCTCTTCATTGGGCTGCTAAGAATGGAAGAATTGATATGGTGGATTTCCTGCTAGCACATGGAGTGGACACTGAAATGCGAACTGTATGATAAGACAAAATTTTAATTGTTGTTGTCATCTACTTCCTTTTATAATAGCGATGTAGGAAGCTCGAGAATTAAACTATGGAGAAGCAGTCATCTGTAGATTTAGGGTATCTACTAAAGCCTGGACTGCCTGGTTTCCATATGGTCGTAACGGTCGTAAAGATTGAGTCACGATCTTTCTCATCAGCCGAAATACAACTTTTAAGAACTGAAAATACGCGGAGTGATTATAACTAGAGAATACTCATGATTTATATGTGGTTTATACGTATAAACTATTATAAACTGGCTGTTGAGAAAGATCATGCCTCTATTTTTACGATCATATGGAAACCATGCAGGTTAAGGTTGCATGGTAACTAATTATCTGTACTTGAAATCTCGTGTAAGTGTATAGAGTTTGGTTGATTCTTTCCTGGGTTTCTCCGCGTCTTCCGGTTTTCCTCCCTGGCCAAAAACCTATACCCATAAGTCTTAGTTGTCGAACTGCGGATGAACAGAACATTACCAGCTTCATTATATTTAATTTCACTGGAATTATTCTAATGATTGAGGAAGATTTTAGGGTAGGGAGGGAAAGGGGTAAAAGCTGACGTATTCTGCCGTGCCCCCCCCCTTCATGCGCCCCCTATCTGTTTAGAGAGCATGCAAAACGTATAATCTGAAATGACGTTCTTTTAATTTTTTATGTTGCGGGAATGGTCTCCACATATAGAATGTAAGTTGAAATATTTTTCTCATATATCTCGGATTTGTATGTGACAAAAATCATTGATACTTATATCATTTATATTTTTTTCTATATCCTTCCATATATCTCGCTGGTGAAAAAAGGGGGTAAGAGAATTATTTTTTATTTAATGATGAACAATAGAAAGAGTTAAGTCACAGTAGCGCGCAAAAACATGTCTGATATTTATATACTTGGTTTCAATTAATGTTCTAGGGATACACACCACTACATTTGGCTACCATGCATAATCACAATGATGTCGTGTTATTGCTTGTTGATGACTATGGTAAGATCTTTCTCCATTGAATGAATAAATATATCTCATTGGTTCGTTTTTTATCTTATTTTTCACCCTGCTCGGTTTCCTTTGTTCTTATCGGGGAATATATTCAATAATTCAATATTCCCCTCTAATCAATTTCCGTTTAATAATCCCCTCTAATATTCACCTGCAATGTCTTTGCAGCACAAAAAAATGAGAAAAAACAACATCACGAAGGCAATATGGCATTAAGAATTATTTCTATTCTGAATCATTAACGCGACCTCGCAATTAATGTGAAAAATAAGTATACGTTATTTTGAGGCACCTCGGGGGTACGTGTTTATTCTTGTGCGCCTCGGTGAATAAATCACATATCCCCTCGTAGTGCCTCAAAATAACCTATATAAAATTAGTAAGTTCAATATTCTCGGAGGGGGGAGGAGGTGGGAGCAATATTTCCTGCTGCCCCTCCCGACGCTGCGTACTGCCCTGCTCCCCAGTTATAATTCTGTGCACTCTTTCTTTAATATCTTTACGTATTGTTTCCAAAAGGAGCAAGCATCGATGCAAGAGACCATAGTGGCAAAAGACCAAAAGACTACCTCAAACGAAATGCAATGCCTTCTGTTAAAAGTACGTTTATCTACATTAAATATGCGGTTATTTCAAAAATGAGGGAACTGCACATAGACTAGGAAAGTGCTAATTTCGTCTTTTAATCATATTTAGATAAACTACAAAGACTCGATTCATGTAAGTGATATAAAAAAACTAAAAGTAAACCAGTTCAACAAATTATTTATATCAGGGGCGTAGGAAGCACTAAAAAGTTGAGGGGCACCGGTTTCGAGGGGCACTTTTGGAATGAAAAGGGCACCTAAAAAATTTCCCCCGGAAATGTTAGCGACGGGGGAAAGGGGGGGGGGGACGGAGAGAAGGAAAAATAAATGCAATCATAAATCAAAGGCAGTTAAGGCCGACTCACGGGTGAGATCAAATGAAAGTGACAGAAAGAATTAAAGCCAAATTTTGCCATTTGTCGTGCTCCAGCCCGATTTCCGGTTCTGAAAGGCCCGATTCGCAGCAAAGAGTGCGCGCCAAGCAGGCTAGTCATTTCTCATTGTTTAACTGCCCCACACTCAAGTAACCACAAAGACTCGCAGATGCTCTAACTAAACAAAGTTCGTTTATACTCGATAGCAGTCTATCAGTTCTGAACTGTTCTGTCTGGGGATCCGGCAAGGGTAGAGCGTTTGCACTCATTCCCCAGGGACCAACTCAACAAAAGCCATGGCGGCCATCACTGGCCATGTTGGTGTTCCAGACAAAAGACTCTAATTAAAATTCTTTTGAATTGGAACACCAACTGACTAACATGGCGGCTGTGACGTCATGTGCAAACGCTCTATAGGAAGAAACCTAAACTAAACTATATTATGAGTGTAGTACATCGTCGTATCACTAACTGTTAAAGTTTCCGACCGATTACGAAATGTTTTATGTTTTCTAGGTCCGAAAGAAAATGGCGAGAAGCCGATGACAAACATCAGCAATATGTTTCTACAGATGTGTTTAGTAAGTCCACCTGAAGTGGACGTTTGTAGCGAGGAAAAAACCGCTGTTTTCCTATCGCCATTTTTTCTTCCAACAAATCCAGAAACACAAACAATCAAATTGAAGGTAAGACAGGCCGCTTAGAGTTAAAATATATGCATGGTTTGAGGTTGGAAAAATTAAGGTCCCAAATTAAAAGGGATTGCCTGCATAGGCTTTTCAAATCGTTTAGTTAAGCCGGTAAGTAAGTAAGGATGTGCTAATCATCCTATACTTGCAGCTGAGAGCTAAGTTGAATTGGGAAGGACGAAACTCAACTGATCAACTTGAAGGCTTCCTGAAGGTCCGTTTACACTTGCAATTTTTGCTGCGAATTGAGGTGCGATTTCTTCTTCTGATGTATGTGAACGAGTGAATGAGTTATGAATGTTCAGATGAGGGCACATGTACCCCAAACATTCATAACTCATTTACTCGTTCACATGCATCAGCTTACGAAAATCGCACTAGAAATCGCAACAAAAATTGCAAGTATAAACGGACCTGACGTGACGCATGTCTGATCACGGAGCACATGCAGCGTCGGTGGAAGGGTCTGTTGGGGGCAAATCCCAACCCACCCTGTCAACATTCCCTATGGGAGGAAACCGGAGTACCCAGAGAAAACCCACGACTTTCGGGAGAGCGTTGACTGACTCTTTTCACATAAATGCCATGAGTCCGCAGCGAGAATCGAACCCTTGATCTCAGAGGTGAAAGGCGCTTTCTCTGTTTTGTAATTCCGGAAGGAATCAAGGAAATCATGACTGTAAACTACAAATATTTGTATATCTGATCCAAAATCCTGCTGATTTACATAAACGTTAAGTCCATTTTGTCACTAAATATCATTCATGTCTTTAATTACGAACCAAGGCGAATCAAGTGAATTTTGCTACTGTTGCTAATGCTACACGGCTATACATTAATTATTGTTAAAATACTAAATTAAGTTGCTAAAATTCTATATAGTATCACTAATATAAAGTTATTCTAAAGTTTAATAAGTACTAATAATAACATATAAACGTTTTAACAGTTTTTCGCTAAAGATATGCAATTTTCAATTTTGTACAACTGACCATAAACGACAGTAATGTATAGAATATCTCAGTCGAAAGCTCAAAATTACCTATATGGCTATAAACCTATACCCATAATTAATAACGTCTTATTAACCGAGCGCAAGGTCTTCACAGAGAAATATCGGACCGATGTCTTTTTTGTACAGACCGAGACGGTAGGGGCAAGATTAATCAAATGTTAAAGAGCATTCTAGGTTTTCTATCGCTCTCCCGACATAAGCATTATCCCAGGTGGAACGCTCTTTCTCTATGGACATGGTATTGAAACTTTTTTCCATTTTCCAGTTGCCAGAATCTGCCCATAATCCAGGATTTCTAGAACTGTCCTCCACATACTCTCTGCACTGTCTTACCAATTCGGTGGTTTCCTTACTTCTATAAAATTGGTGCTTGTAATCGAAAGTATCTTGCAAACATAAGTCATGAGCTTTCTTTGGCTTCTTGTGATGTATTAGGTTGACTCCGCTTACATTATCCAATGATGTATCTGCATCGTTAAAATGAATGTGGACGCAAACAACATGGTCATTGTCCTTTGGGTCATCTACAAGAACTAGAGCCATTGGTGTACCATTCGACGCCTTTTTCTTAAGTTTATAATCCCGGATGTTGAAATTTGTATGCAATAAAAACTCTCTGGCTGCTGCAGTTGTCAATGCTCGCGCTTTAAATCCCACTATCCCGGAAAGTGATAGAAAACAAAATTTGAAGAATCCAGCATCACGAAAGAGGGTCAACTTGACACCTTGAATACATGGAAGCTCCAATATTGGATCATCTTCTCCTGATCTCAACTTCTCTGATGGCATGGTGGTTACTACTTGGGGAGAGGGGCGGTCAACTGCTCTGTATGCATTCTTTTCTATTTCACTTTTTTTATCCCATTTTTTCTTGAACTCCTGAAGCTGCTCCTGGTTTTCTGGTTTGTTGAAGTGGACAAAGCAAGGAGTAAAATAATCACCAAAGGTTTGCTCATCACTACCGGATGCAGATTGTACAGTCACGGTACAACCATTCTCATTCCAAGGCCGGTCTTGCATGAGTGCCAGCTGATATAAGTCGTCCACCAATACCCCAGAGTAACAACTATCTGCTATTATAACTAGATGCTTGTTTTTCTTTACACCAGTGGCATTGTCGTTTTCCTGTTTCACAGCTGCAATCCATGGTTCGAGGAGACCTTGCAAGTCGCAAAAGCCGACATCGTGCAAGCACAGCTCACCACCTTTCACTGTCCGATTTGGTGTTAAAAAACTTTCTGCAGCTGCAAAATACTGTTGGGGGTCGGCAAGAAATCCTACTTTATCAAGACGGGGGGAAGAGGACACAAGATATCTTTTACTCATGATCAGGTTTGCTTTGTTCAGCTTCTTCGCACCTTGCTCACTAAGACCATGTCCGACATAATACAACAGCACCATTTCGTCTTGTTCTGGTTGAGATGTATTTCGAATTGGGTCAAATGCATTGTCAAACGCCCACTTTATTAGACTTTTAAAGACTGTATCTTGTAGCTGTTCGCTTTTATCAACAGTTTCTTTAACATCCCCGTAAAATCCAGTTTTCAAAAAATCTGAAGATGTTAGCCATTGCCAAACTTTGTCGAAGTCGCCTCGCGTGTTGGTTTCATCCTGACCTGGAGAAGTGACGCTTGTATCCAACTTCTCAGGAGAAGGGAGTATAGCGCAACGAGGGTGCTTGATAAGATCGTCCAGAAATTCACGATCTTGTCGCTTTCTTTTTGCCAAACGAGCACCAAGTCTAAGTTCAATTCCCAAGCTCATCGTATGGTTGTATTCGAGTGTTTTGTTTGTCCTACTACAGAATTTAACGTTTAGACTTCAGTAGACTCGGTTTAATAGCGTCGGGACGCACCTTTACAAACCAAACACAAAACGAAGCTTAAAATTAATTAAGATGCAGCTGTCCAAATATTCGTTAAATTAAATTGTTACTTGCCTATATGACGTATTATTTGCATGAATGATGCTGTTGTAAGTAGATATTTTCATTTGCTGTCAGAGGTTTTACCGTTTCAGCATTCTTGGTCTAAGAGCGTTTGGAACATGCCTACCACTTTCCTGCAACAACTCCATTTCTCTGTTGAATAAGAATCGGCCGACTTCAGTATTCAAAGATTCCATTCTATATTTAAATTATTTAAATTAATTCCCTCGTGCAACACCCAACAACAATATGTAACAACCGACCTCGTAACAGTTGTATATAAACAGGGGCTAAAATGAGAATTCTTTTAAAAAATCTTTTAAAGAATTCTTTTAATCAAGAATTCTTTTAAATAGTGTTTCTTAAGTTAAGTTCTCGACCTTTAATGGACGTGATTTAATTGTATTAGGAGTTTAGGACACACCTTAAGCTTTACAAACCAAATAGTACAAGAAGCATACAGGTGGCAAACCACTTATAGTTTCAAAACAACGTTAACATACCGAGATTCTTAAGAAACACGTTAAATGGCCAGCAGTTTCTATAGACCCTTTGCACTGACGTCACAAATCCTTAGAGTGTCCTCCAAGCTCCCTAACAATATCTGTTCGGGTACAACAACCACATACAGCCCAGAAATTAACCATTTTAATACAAAATTATTATAAACTTTTGCAAAATTTACTTTGTTTACAAAAGTTATATTATGCATAGATTGCCAATTTGTCCTCCAGATGCGTCGTCACCGGCGCTGTGACGTCATGTGCAAAGGGTCTATAATAAGTGAATATCATTTTGCGAAAAAACAAGGGAAACAGGCAAATTCGGGAATGGCGAAGGTACACCACTATTTCATCAGTCCACAATCCCCCTCTTATAATCTCTTTTACGGAATGACCTCGTTTCCATGTCAACTTACTTTAGAATGTCAGGGGCAGATAAAGATTATATTCCCATGTTTTCCTGGACGAATTTGTTTCTTGCTGTTGTTAGGCTCAACAAAAAAGTAATTCTCAACCCTACTGAGCACAAAACATGAGTAAGTATTTGACATGAAAACGAGGCCATTGAATAAAAGAGAATAATCGGTAAGGTCCATTGTCTTGTTTTCTGGACTGAAAAGAACAGAATGAACTGGAGGTCACACAGAGGCTAGACTGCGAGCAATTCCCTCTCTTTTCTTCGTTTATCTTAGTCCGGGAAAATAAACGAAAGAAAATAGAGAGATTCGCATTCTACGTCTAAATAGAAACCACGAATTTGAACAGTGTTAATTTATGTTCTAAATGAAAGTTCCACTGTTTTAATACAACCTATACAGTAATACTTTTTCCTTTCGTTCCGTGTAGAATCCCACAACCCGGCGTTCACGCGTGAACACGACGTTTCGAAAAGTGCGACCGAAGCTGAGGAAAACGACACGCGTTGCGGTGGATGAAGGAAATCTCGAAGCAAAGAAGAGGATAGGGTCACCTGTTCCAATGAGAAATAACTTCCTGGATTTTTCAGGGTGAGTTTATGCAATATAAAGAATTTTATTATATTAAGGAGCGTTCATTATTTATGGCGTGGGTGAATGAGTGACAATGAAAATTACACAAGCAGTTATCAAACTCATGTCACAAAAGTGGTAAAGGACATGTGTGACAACTGAATGGTATTCCTTTGTAAAGTTTTTGGCCAGGGGTGGGTATTTATTTTTTAATTGAAATTTTGACTTTTTAATGGTTGGATGAGCAAAATTTTTACCAATTTTTACCGCGGGCCCTTTGTGTTTTGAAACACAAAAAGTGATTTTTTGTGTTGGTGTTGTGTACTCAGGTGAATATGATGTTTGTGATGTTACTCTGAGTGTGTATCCACACCGGGAAAGCTTGAAAAATATGCCTGGCCACCGTGGCCAGATACATACTCAGAGTAACATCACAAACAACACAAAGAGTGTTGAAAAACAAGGCGCTATAGAAGTAAACGTCGGGAAATTTGAAGGCTATTTGGTCCCTTGTATGTTTTTATTTACTTTAAATATTTTTCATCCAAAATGATGGAAGTCAAACTGAATATCAGCCCTTACAATTGCTATCTTTATTAGAGTCCCTCGACAAGAAAGAGCAAAATCAGAACCAGATGTTGGAAAACTTATAGAAAAATTAGAATCGAAGCTGGATGAAAGATGACATTGAATCGCAGATGTATAAAGTCTTCTGTGGCAAAATACGTCCTTTTCGCTGAGACTTGAGAAGTTTGTGATTTACAGCAGACTATATACCATGACGATATCCCGATTAGAACGGCTCAAAAATACATATAACATCCCCAAAATGTAACCACAAAATGAAATTAACCCAAAAATAGTGTTACCATTGGTTTAGCCAGGTGGGACACAACCTCCGCGGAATGGAATTACGTGTATTGGATAGCAGTTGAATGTAGGAAATAAAGAATAAGTATTTGAGACGCTATATATAGAATGATATTATGAGTAATATATAGCAAACTTTATCTATGATTCTTATCAAATTTGTCAAGTATTTAATGAATGGGTATTAAATTGCCTGTATTTGTATATAGGAGAGTTATGGATTAGGGTTATAAAAAATATAGCTACTAATCATGGTTTGAACAATCGTGGTCAAACAAGATATGGTTTCGATATATGGCCAAAGTCTTGAGGAAACTGACTTAGTGTTTAACACCGAGTCAGTAGCTAGTTCCCTCAAACATTTCTTACAAATCCTTAAAAAAGTAGAATTTACCGATGCAAAATTCCTACTGTGATCACAGAAACTTTGATAGTGTAAACCAGCCTTTATTGCTGAAATATTAACAAGAAGATTTAAGTCGTCTCGACAAAAAACCATTGCTTATTATAGACGCTTTGAAGTTTGTCGAGTGTCCATGCAGTTCATATCTCGATTGAGTATGGAACAGATAGACACTGTGCATTGTGCGTTTGTTTTTTCTTTCATACAAAATCAAATCTAACATTCGTGAATGGATTATATATATTAATGTATTATACATAAGTGCCAAATGGATGAAGAATATGCGGCAATCTCGAACCCAGAGCATGCCTATACCTAACCTGCGAACGGGTGTATGCTCTGAGTACGAGATTGAACAAGCGGCGTCAACTACTATTACGTCATTTACAGGTTCAAAAAAAACACTCTGAACGAAACATTATACCTACTTGAGAAAAATGAGCAGAATTTAACAGCGTCAAAAAATCGGAGTGAAAATTGCCATCTACTGCTAGCCAGCGTGACAGGCTCTGTGGTAGCTTGTCCCCAAAAATGGAAACCGAAACAGCTTCAAAATTAGATGGAGCCTTTTTCGAGCTCTTAGCGTTGCTGCAAGAACCAATAAGTGACATCAGAGTTCCATCTTTGTTACTTAGCTGTCTATATTAGTGATTTAAAAATACTAGAGTCCACTTGCTCCAACGCCATTGTTCACATTTGAGCATCTTTTTTGGAGAGGATTCTTTAAATAAGTGCTAGGGCTGTTCACTGTGAACTTACAAATGTGCGGTCATTGCTATAAATACTATGTTAGATGTGTTATGCTACATCGCAAAAATAATTTATGACTGTTTGTGTCATTCGCTGTGTGAATGACCTGCGCAATAATGTACTTTCCCCATGCGCGTTTCTCGCGAGATTACATGACTACACACGCGCGACTACCCGCGGCCGTTTTCTTCGGTCCATCAAGTTTAGCCTGGCCATTGGCTTCGACGGTTGGCTGAGCTTTTAGTAACTGAAAGATTGATTAAAGAGCAGATATTGAAAATCAATCAATCAATCGGGTATATTATTTTCAATCAGTTTTATCTAAACTCTTATCCCTAACAAGTATGTCATTTAAGGTGGCTCTGTATTAACCACCAAAACCCAGGCAGTGGAAAAAATTTAAAAGTGAAGTTTCATGTCTTTCATAATTGATAGTTGTTTCGCGGTTTCGCCTTTCCCCAGAAAAACTGAATATTATATAACTATATTGATTCATTGTGAAGAGAGGAATATGGGCGATCTTTTAACGTATGCCTTAGGGGATGGGCAAATGGCGATGATAAATGAGTATGGTCATGATTTAACCCTATTTCACCAGGAAAATATGAAAGTATGTTTTGCAATCTCATCTGCATAGTCCAGCGGATATGCACAGATATTTGAAAAAATCATGCACTTTGTGAAGAAAGCACCACATTCACAGGAAGTGTAGACTTTAACATGATAATGAATCTTAGACATGGAGGCATCACCAAAATTGATGCTGACGGCTTAAAATTTAGGATTTCTTATATTCTCTTATTAATCTCTTATACAATTAAAAATTGTGAAATTGCAGGTTCACATATAGCAATAATGACATGCGTCATTAGAAAGCTTACAAAAAACTGCATATAAGACATTTAAGCAGTTACTTTGATTTTCCAACTCCTCTGGAGTTATGAGCGGTTGAATATATGTTTTAGGGCTAGTGTCCAGGACTTTGGCGGGATTATTGCCTATTTATCACGTTTTTAAATAGCAATAACTGGAAAACCGCTTGGAAAATCAATCAGCCATTTAAAAGTCTTATATGTAGTTTTTTGTAAGCTTTCTAATCATGCACGTCATTTTTGCTATATGTGAACCTGCAATTTCACAATTTTAAACAGTAATAGAGTTTAATGAGAGAATATAAGAAATCCTAAATTTTAAGCCGCCAGCATCAATTTTGGTGATGCCTCCATATCTAAGATTCATTATCATATTAAAGTCTACACTTCGTGTGAATTTGGTGCTTTTTTCACAAAGTGCATGATTTTTTACTTTTCCTCTGGACTAGCAGGGCTTTCTCAATTCAAGACCTTCCCTCGGTAAACTGTTTTCTCTGTGATTGCCCTGAAGAAGCATGATGTAGAAAACTTTACATTTGAGAGGTTCAGATTTGACTTCCACTGCCGCTACCGCTACCTCTCTCACTGGCTTAGTACGCATCTGATTGGTTGATCGAATATATCAAACGCATCTGATTGGTTAATGGTTACTTAATGGTAGCGGCAGTAGGAGTGGAAGTTAAATCTGAACCTCCATATTGACAATACAAAAGTAAATTTTCGTATACCGCAAAATATCCAAGTTTCACTTACCGCTTGCAACATATGTACTCTGTATTTGAGTCGTCCGCTCTGGTGATAGGCCGCGGCAGAGACTTGACGATGAAATGCAGCAAACTCTTGCTCAGCAACAGGTTTTTTAGCCCATTCTTCACAAAGTGCCTGAGGGAAAATATATTTAAAAATATAATGGCACAACAAGAAACGGAGGTGAAAGGCACACAACCCCACAATTACTAACTACAGTATCACCAAGGCACCTAACATGACGTGCACAGTTAGGAAGGAGTGGAAAATCTTTTGAGCGATTTGTATAACTCCACAAGTCGAGATCTGTTACCTGTAATCGTTTCTCTTTCTTCAGTAATCGTTCATTCTGTCGTTTCAGTAAAATAATTTCAGATTTTAGTTGAGCAATTTCATTGCTTCCTTCCACTTTGGTTGAGACACTTCTTCTCAGAGAAGGATTACCATCCGTCCTTTTGTATTGGTCCATTTGTCGCAATTCCTAGAAAAACGGTAAAATCTAAGAATTAAAATGACCATGACCTTCTTTTGGAACATTATAACCTTGAATCCTGAGAAGTATACCCTGTTTCAACAAAGGAACTGAGAACTGTTTCCATTAACTCTTACAGGATCGAGTGAAGCTCTGATCGAAATTTCGGCACACTCCTCGCCAGTTTCGTTAACCGCGCAGACAAAAACAATAGAAAGGGACTGGAACTCACGTCCTATACTTCTTCAAGTTGCGCCATCTTGCCTTCACTTTTTGGACTCGAGTTCTCCATCCAGATATATATGGAGCTCACTGGGGGAGGCTTGCTATTCCCAACGACTGATATTATAGCTAAACTGTTAATAACCTACTGTGATTCACTGAAAATAATGTTCAGACTTCCTACTGTACCTTTGTAGTCATTTTGGACAGTCTGGCATCAGCCAGGGAGTCCTCTTGTATCGCATACATCATCAATGTTATACATCCAGTATCGAACCACTCCAAATGCTCATCTCTGATGGCAGGGAATGAGAAGATCGTAGAATAATTAAACTCTGGAGATAAACAGTCTTTGACAACAGGTGACTTTGTGTATTCTTCTGACTGGTCGTATGTCTTGTATTGTACGTATAATCCTTTTGAAAAGCGCGAGTTGTGCACTTCTGCTGTACGAATTGTTACCTAGATAAAGCGATAATGTCAGATCGGCGATAATTGCGATAGAGTTTGCTTTGTGGTGAACTTAGTTATTTTACATTTAAAAATTGTTTAGGAACCTTCATATCTAGTCTGCCACAATTAGGAGGAATACCTTTGAGAAATAGACTCGTTTGAACAAGCGAGTCTATAAAGTTTGAGCCTAAGTTTTGACAAACTCGTTCAACGGGAAACCAAGAAAACTTCAATCCCAGTACTTAAGAGGAAATCAAGGTACTTTATGGAGATCAATGGCTAAGCTGAGCGCGCGCAAGATTATTGGCTAGGGGTGTATAAGGTCGCCACAAACAGAGTCCCTGGCGTTAGTCTTCATGCGTATATATTGATTTGATAATCCAACCTTATAATGATAAGGTTTGCCCAATAATTCCTTCGTGTCATCGACGAAATAATCTTCATCTAACGACTTCCCGCTTTGATTGCACGGCGTAACATTCACATACAGAGATGCTTGCTCGGAACCCTGCACAAAAGCAAATGAAACAAATAAGAAACTTATCATCCCACCCTCTGGGAATATTTTCACATTAAAAAGCTTGATCATAAGTATCATATACACTACCTTGTAGTCAGTGACACTGAGTTTATCATCGAAATCCAAAGCATAAGCCAAACTTTGCAAGAAAACATTGGCAGTTCCAACCAGGGTATCCTCAGGAGGTTCCCAGAATGGATCTTCCTCGTGGGGAATATTTGCCACGCCCGCATCGCCGTCCAAGAATTTTTGATAAAGATCCTAAATGAAGAAATGTTGATACCTTTAGTTTGTCGTATAGCAGTGCAACTGAACTATATTTGACCGCTTGCCGTGAGAGCAACAAGACAAGTCAGTAAAATTGCTTGTCCGGAATAAAATGAGTTGGAACGCACAAGCCTTAATCACCTTGGTGCTTGATGTTATTTATATAAAGAGTGCATGCATACCTGCATGAGATATCGGCGATTCATAAACTTTCCACGATCCCACAGCCATGAATTTCCATTGAGAAGATCAGTCATTTTCACCATTACCCTACAAGAAACAAATGTTCAATATGCTTGTTCCATATCACTGCATATAATAAACTCCTTTTCGTTATGACATCATACAAGAAATATTTGCACAATCAATTTGCACCATCTACGTACTTTGTGTTTCCACTTAGATTTCCTTGAGCTGCACCAGATATAAGCACCAGTTCAAAGTTCCTAAAATAATAAGAGCATAATAATAAGATAATATCTCAAGAATTCAAAACAAAATTCAGTTTTTCATATACTTGTGTTTATCGAGTTCCTCGCTGATGGCATTTGCTTCACCAACCAAAGGTAACAATTCCAACACTTGTTCTTGGGCAAGTTGTTGATCTAGAATTCACAAGCAAAGACATGTTGGGATAACACCGCGGAAAAACGTCTGCGCATGCACCAAATTATGAAAATATGGCGGGTAATTTGAATATCAATTTCTAAAACAAAAACTTGCTTATTAATTGGTCAAAAATTAGTAAAACAAACGAGAAAATATAGCAAATGGGTAGACTAGACATTAATTGAAAGCGTCCTGGCATTTAAAGTATGGAATGAAATATAATTCATGTAAAAAATTGTTGATTTTAACGGATACGACTTCGAAAATTTTTGCAAAATTATTCGCAAAATTATTCAAAACAAAAATTCAAACTAAAAAGTTAAGAAAACTCTCGAAAAGTTAAGCTTCTTAACCCACTCAAATTGTAGAATAAATCCTAAAGTTTAATTATTGTGAACACGAAAATTTTTTATATTTGGCGACACAGTTTTTTTTAAAGAAATGTATCTCAAACGAAAATTCGGAAATTGTCGTTGCTTAGTTGATAAACAAAATGTTTCAGACGATAAATTTGTCAACAATCACCTTTAGTTCATGTTCTTGCACAATACAATTTCTTGAATCTTCTGGCTGTATTTATTCCTCGTTTTTAGAATGACATGTTTATTTTTGCGCTCGAAATCTGGCTGTAAAGACGCACAATGAAGTCACTCCTTTTTACCGCCATTTTGAGCCTTCGGAAACGTTCGGAACAGCTTCTCATCAAGTTCGCAATACTATTACAGGTAAGGTTGACGCATGCGCAGACGTTTTTCCGCGGTGTTTGTTGGGATACATGTAGATACATATACGAACGCGCATGTGCAACCAGCACGAGGTTGAACAGCTAGCATATTAGTGAACACCGGTGTCACACGGCTACACACGTAAAAATCTCACAACTTGTTAACAAGATGTGTTCGCAACAGACTTGTAGCAAGCTTGTCAACAAGTTCTAACAATGCTGTTATTTTATCAAGTTGCTACAAGCTTGTCACTCACAACTTGTTGAATTGCAGGACGATAACAAATTGTTGGAACAACTTGTAACAAGTCTGTTGAACTCAACAACCTTGTAGCAAGTTGTCAACAAGCCGTTGCCAAGTGCGAACACATTCTGTTGACAAGTTGTTGGAACAGCATTGCTACAAGTCTGCTGCAGGTTTGTTACAACTTGTGCGTTTTTACGTGTGTAGCTTGTTAACCACTGGCTTCATTCATGCATATATAGCAAATCAGAGGAAAGAACTCTAACAATTAACACAATTTTTTTCCAGGTGAACTGAAATAGCAGGGAGCTTAAATTGGATTGATAGGGATGCAACTACAGGACCTGACAAAGACAAGGAAAACGTCGACGTTTCGAGAGAAGGCCCTTCGTGGACGTTAGTAGCCAAGTGACGGAGGGCCTTCGCTAATTAATTGAATAAAACACAAAATACCTTTCGATAATCCACTTCCAAAACCAGTTTGAAAACCGGTTGCTTCAGCCATTTCCTTCTGCGCATAGTTCCAGTCCACTTCATCAGGCGATCCTTCGCTCTTTTCAGAGTTCTTCGGATTGACCAAGTAGTAGAGATGATTTGAGCCTGAAATAGTTTAAGGAAAAGGGTTACCCTGATTCACCATCTTCTCTGAGTTTTCAGTTCTCTGAGTTTTCGAAAAGGGAAAGGTTAGTTTGCTGAGCTCAGAATGACATTTCGACAAAACTTTTTTCTTCAAGATTGGTTTAGAAACAAACTTGGAGTAGATTTAGGTACGAGTCAGTGGCGAAGCCAGCCCGACAATTTGGTCATGCTATGCAAATATTTCAGTGTTCATAGACCGTGAAAATAATCAATTTCTAAAGAAATTAATGATTTAAATTTTGCATAGCATGACCAAAAAATTGTCGGGTTGGCTTCGCCACTGATTAGAGTTGGTGTTTGGAATTGGGTTAGTGCTAGTAAAACCGTCGCTTTGTTACGTTTCGTCACTCTGAAGCGAGCGTAATAACCTGTTCCTTTCAAAAGCTGCTCCGATCTCTGACATTTCCACGGCTATTGGTTCACTATTATCACTGGAGGAAACAGGAACACCCGAAGAAAATCTGCAGTGTTTGCTATCATTGTTTTAACAAGCAAGCATGATTAACAATCTTTTCGAGTGTGCCATACTTACCAAATAAAACTCTGTCAAGATGTTTCAACACACGTTCGCCAGGCAGAGGCATTCCGTTCACCTTCGTCTTAGCACCTTGTGCTGCAGGCTTGATTGTAATCTCACCGTTTTTCACCGTAATCACCGCATGTTGCTTTTGAATACTAAAATGTACGGAAAACAAAACTTGATCAATGGCACATGATAGAATCATCACTTACTAAAAAGCCATTTGCTATATATTGTTAATCCATTATTGTCGATTCCAGGTCACTTTTCAACGCGTACTTCCCAAATTTGTTGCGAACATGCCAAATAAATTTCCAAGATCGGAAATTGGGCGCAACAAAGTTCGCAGTTCATTTCAATGTTCGAACTTCTACAGTAGTATAACAATTGTTCACAGTTCCAGTTCAAATTAACAATTGCAAAGGAACGTTCCAAAGGTTTGTATTTCATTGATTTGGTTATTATTATTGAGCTATAAACATTTGTTTACGAACGAGGTTCAAACATTGAAATGGTACTTGCGAACTTCGTTGCGAAGTTCACGCCACATTTTCGAACATGGAAACGTAATTGGTAAGTACGCAAAAAACTTGGGATCCGCGCGTTGAAAAGTGACTCGAAATCGACAATAAGACAAAAAAACTATATATCGTACATAACTATACCTTAATCCACTAAGCGTTATGGTTGGAGCAGGGTCTGCATCTTTTCTGCCAATCGTCATCTCCTCTGCAATAAGATATAATGAAAATAAGTTATTTGCTTCGTAAAATGAAGGATGTCCAACCAGGTATTTAGCCGGGCAGCCGTTCTGTATGGACGGTCACGTTTGACTTTAGATGGCCACGTTTTTTTTAAACAGCAATTCGCAAGCTCTGTGATATTTCCTGAATACCTCAAAAGTTGTTCTTCCTTGTTTCACCAAAAGGAAAACAAGACATTAACAAACAACTTCAGAAATCGAACTACGTGGTCTCACCAACACTTCAGCTATCAAATATGGCTGCTTTACCTCCTTCAAGGAAATGTCGGACCACTCCAGACAACATTGGATCTTCGTTCAAGTTGACAAGATGAGGAATATCAGCAATTTTTGATTGAGACGAATCACTCACTTCCTCACTTCGAGATTTCTCCAACTAAAAGATTATCAAATCACATCAACACAGAGTTCCAGGCATCCCTATAACATTAAGGTCCATTTCCACGGACAGAGAATTTTCCGAAAATATAATTGTTAAAAGTTGAAAATTTTCAACTTCAAAATGTTTTCCGACGGAAAATTTGTGTCGGCCAATCACGATTTACAAAATTTTCTTTCTGCGAAACATTTTCATGAGTAGAAATGGGCCTTAATATTGTAATCTTTTGCAGAAACGTTTGAGCCCTAAACCCAGGTTCCTAGAAAGAAAAAATATTTTCCGCCTCTGATTGCGCTATTTCCCGGTAAACAGGCCCTAATTAACGTAGAAATGTTTTCTCGGTTATCTGACCTTTTCATCCCAACTTTGCATCGCTTCTTGATTCAAAGCCAACTGTGCTCGGATTTCAGCTTCCATTTCCTTTTTCATTTTCTCTTTTTCTGTTAGTAAAGAATCATAAACATAATCATATACTCATGGGGAAAACGTGTATTGTTGAGGGTGTGATCAAGAGCGTAAATCCAATATTCAATAATTTGTCGGGCAAAAATATGAGTCCCATGTTGAGCCTGGGAACGAGGTTGCATGTTTTGATGTTGACCTGTTCAACCAATCATTCTTTATGCATGGTATCCCAAAAGCCCGCAAACAAATAGACGCACCTTCGGCACTCAATGCTCCTCCCCCCACCTCGGGTACACCTCCCCCTTGCAAGGACTTCTTCAACTTCTCATTCTCCTCCTTGAGTTCTCTAATCAGCTTGTCCATCGGGTTTTCATTAACCACTGCTTTGTTTTTGATTTTCTTTGCACGATCTGCATACCTAGTATAATACGTAGAGATTTCAAAAACACTGGAAAAAATTTGAAAATCCATAGAATGGAAATTGTATGAACCTTTATTGGAAATAGAATGGATTTTGATTATCCATAATAATTGTAGATTGCCATCCAGGTGATCTTGATACGCAGAAAAGTACTGGCACTAGTTGTCAAATAGAAATCCATTTTATGATTAAAACAACTGAATGTCTCCTGTAATATACTTTATTTCGATTCCATATTTTTGTCAGAGCTATAGTTCTCATAACCAAACATAATTACAAAATTTCAACTAGTTTCATAAAGAATAATGAAAGATATAATTGACTGAATACATCAAAATGGATTTCTATTCGGACAACCCTTTCTGAGCGCTGATTGGCTAAAATACGAACACGAGATCACCTGGTACTATATGGATATATAGTATCGAAATAGTATGGAGAAAGTATGGATTCAGTGGCGCAATTGGTAATGTCATATAGTATGGATTTCACATTTTTCCCAGTGGAACCAAAACTAAATGAACTATATTTATAGTGAATAGCCCCACCAATTCTTAACTGTTCTTCCTCAAGCTGCATGCGCAGCAAAATCTATCTCTTATTGATCCAGTGTTACTACAGGATGAAACCCAAGTACTGTGAATGCTGTTGTTTTTTGAAGTCAAGCGCGCTTCTCACATGCAACAAAGAGGAAATTATAATCGACTGTATATCACACGAGCCGAAGCCAGGCCACCATGCACTAATATCTGTGTCATCAACACTCTGTTAAAAACGTTCAACTCAACCACCAAACTTATTTCACAAACCTGAGGGTACCAAGCGTTTCATCATGGTTAATATCAGCAGGTGATAAAGCAGCTATCATAATAGTTTTACTGTTACCACCCAATGCATTTTGTAGCAACTTGGTAAGAACAGAATCACGATAAGGAACCATGACCTTCTTCTTGCCCATAGAGAGGTCAGCCAAGGCGGAAATAACGTTCCCTAAGGCTGATAAACTTTTATTGATGTTCGCGCCTTCTTTGAGACGATCACCTGTGGCGCCTGTACTGTCCGCTCTTTCACTCCCTGCGAGAAATTGATGAAGAAAGGAAAATATGAAGGAAATTTTCAAACTCATTTACGATCAAAACACAAGGCTTGATGCAAAGTAATTAATACTGGTGAACTCGTTTGAGATAAAGTTATAAAATAAACTTTTCAAAGTTTTCTAAAAAACTTGGATAGTGCCTCGTTTTTCAAAATGTTCACATGACTATAGTAAATTCCGTCTTGTGTATTAGCATATGATATGCCTATTCATCCAGGCATAGCTCAAATCCTCTGGAATAGGCCCTTTTCATGGATTGGCCACGTGACACCAATCTCTCAAAACGAGCAGTTGTGTCAAAATGAACCACAGAAATGAACAGAGCACCTTAATACTGGTAAAACTGCTAAGTTTTAATATACAATACGAAAGTATGAAGATATGGCATTCAATTAATTTAAGATTGAAAACTTTCTTACAACTTATAAGGGAAAATACACTCTGCATGGCAAAACATGCAAATGGCAAAGATTTTTCGTGTCTTTACCTGCACAAGCTATTGAGGAGAATATCTAGTTTACTACCAAATCCGTTTTTCTTACCAGCTAAATCAACCAGATTGATGGTACTGCTCTTCTTTGTCTCCTGTCCCGAGTCATTCTTGCTGATCTGGTCAAATGTTACCGTGACAACCGTATGAGCCCGCGAGCTGGTGGCGTTCATCTGTGTTGCAGCGACTGTACGGTTTGAAGTGCCTGGGGGAGAAAACGTTCACAAGACATTAAATCAGCTCAAGGCCGGATTTTGAAGGGAGGCGAGCACCTCCCCTGAGATTTTTTGCACCTCCCCTGAAACGTCATGCACTTCCCCTTGGGAAAGGCTAAATGATAGATCAAAGTTATTTTTTTATGCGTTGTTTAGAGTCTACAATAAACTTTGTAGTAATGTAATGAAGAGCAATATTGGATGAGTCGTACAGTCATAATTCATAAATACACTGAACATATCTGTATGTGTAGTACATGCATGCATACGTCAAGTAGTTGACTTTAATAGAGGGCTATATTTTAAGTCCTAACATTCCATGGGGGCCGTGGGCTAGACGCTGCACCTCCCCTAAATATATTTCCACCTTCCCCAGTACTTCCACCAAAATCCGGCCTTGAATCAGCTCAGTATAAATTTATCTCAAATATCTTAACTTTGCGTTGGAATCATTCAAATGGACAAAAAACCGACCTTCCTCTGTTCGTTTCTCGATTTCTTTGTAACTTCCAACGGCGACTTTCTTCAAACCTTGCACGAAAAACGATCCCAATTTTGGGTTTTGACGGACCTTCGAAAAGTGAACAAAACAGTAGTCAAAATTTAAATCGGTTATCTTAACACACCTGCACGGGTGGAAAAAATTAGACGAGCACACGAGCACTGCTCGCAGGAAATTTTAAACAGCTGCAGGAAATTTGTTTGAATGAAGATTTACTATTTTATTGAAAATTTGAAGGAAACCTTAACACCCAAGTCCCACTATGGGCGCAAGAACATATGTTTAACAGACATTCCTTGAATTTAAAACCATGGTCAGCTAGAACACTATATGTTTATGCACATGCAGATTTACAGATTTAGCACAAAAATACTCCGTTGGTCTGCAGGAAATTTTTGTCTCCAGGATGTGCTCCCAGGAAGAAAATTATTTTTTCCTGCCCTGTACTCCATTTCGGAAGTACGCCACTTTGGCTATCGTCCTCGTTTTCGTGTATATATACGACCTTAGTTAAAGCCCAACGTCTAAATCACGAAAACGAGACTCTATAGCCAAGGTGACGTCCTTTCCGGAAGATTTTTTTAAGAGTAGTGGGTGTAATGGTTCTACCATGGATAATAAAATAAATAATAACTTTATTATATTTATTTTATTATCCATGGTTCTACTACGAGCATGCATTCATAGATTTTCATCACGAAAACTTCCCATGAAAGCTTTGTATTAAAACCTTCTACTGTAAATTAGATATTTTGTCTAAACTAAAGGGAGTAAAGCTCTGATCAAACGAGAATGAGAGTTAAGAAGCGAGAGTTTGCATGAGTTTTATCAACTCTCATTCCCCGGTCAAACGAGAACAAGAGTTGCATGAGAGTTGAGAGTTTGCATGAGAGAGTTTTATCAACTCTCATGCGCCAGTCAAACGAGAACAAGAGTTGCATGGGGGTTGATGAGAGTTGACTGGATATTATCGCGCGCGTAACGAAAACTTTCGTCAAAATTTGAACCAGCTCAAAGTGAATGAAAGTTGGCGGTCAAACGCGAGCAAAAGTTGCAACTCTCATCCTTGTTTGACCGAGAATTGACGTTTCAGTTTTCTCTAGGGAAACCATTTTCAATGACTTGACAATTTGTCATGAATTTTCATCTTGCGTGAGCTATATGATTGCGTGTTTCTTTTTCTCATTTGCGTTCACATTCTGCGCGCTTGTTCATAAACTAAAGTATGTGCCTAAACGAACGAGAGGGGAGGGGGGGGGGGCTTCATTGGCTTCAATGTAAAAAAGGGTGGGATACGACCCCTTTCCGAACTATGTTTTAAACTTGTATACCTGCAAACCACCTTTAGGATTGTCTTTTGTTAGCAAATCCCGAACTTGTTCATTGTAAATTTCCAGCATACTGAACGTCACCTCATAACGCTAGGTAAAAACATGTGAAAACAGAATAAGATTTTAATGTTACCAAAAAGACATTACTAATGCAGAATATTGAATTATTTTCTTTAACATACAATATTGCCTTTGCCTTTGTTTTCAGTAATACTCTTAAATAATTCATCGCATGTGATTGGAACAATACCCCTAAAATGCAGAAAGAAACATTTACCACAAATCTTCTATTAGGTCCCCTGAGGCCTTATTTACTTGAGAAGGGGGCTTATAAATTTTTCCGAAATGCAGTAAGAATGAAATGCATTAAATTAATATGAAATTCCACTTGTGTTTTCTGCAGTTTTGAAGAAAGAGAGGAAGTGGGTGGGGGCTTAATAGGGAGTTGGACTTAACAATAAGTTCGTTCTTCCAAAATGCGGGGGGTGGGGGTGTCTTATTAGAGAGAGAGGGATGCTCATTAGAGCTAGAGAACAGCTTATTAGAGAGAGGGGGTTAAGAGAGAAGAGGGTCTGCTTATTAGAGAAAGAGGGTATGTGATTAGTGAGATGGAGCTCATTAGAGAAAGGGGGCTTATTTAAATAGAGAGAGGACTCATAGTAGAGAGAAAGGGGCTTATAATAGGGGACTCGGGGGCTTATTAGAGAGCTAGGGTCTTAATAGGGGATTTACAAAAGTTAATGGCACATTCTCAGAACTTGTGGAGTACTGGTTAATGCTGGTCATTCAGTAATTTAGGAATACAAAGGAATTAAAGTAACCTGTTTGGTCCATAACCAACCATAGAATATGACTTCCCTGCACCGGTTTGTCCATAGGCAAATAATGAACAATTAAAACCTAAAACATGGAATAAAATTTATTGTAAAGACTGAGTGCCATTGCTCTCGCCTTGATGAGCAAAATCGTCTGGCAAGATACAGTACTGATGTAATTTATAATTGCAAAACTCCACTGAAAAACACTACGGGGAAGTGGGTACATTTCAGGTCATAAACATTTATATTTTATTATTATAACACATGAGCGGAGCAGGCAAAAGGCATTCGTGCACTTGCAGTTAGATTATGCAGACAGAAGCTCAAAACATTTAACAGTTAGCCAATACTTTTTGACAAAAATTATCACTATATATATGAACTTTAATCTAGAATTAGAAACATTCTTTATTTTGAGATTTGCAACCAAGCAACAACCCCAACAAATATTTACACTGCACTGGTCTGACTTGACAACCAAGTAATGTTAAATTGTCTGATAAGTAAACAGAGGGCTTAGTGAAGCTATAGCTTCAATTACCTAATGTAAGCAGTGAGGCCAATATAAGACAAATGATCTTGGTAAGACATAAAGTAATTATACAGCTTCTATAGTTCAATGGATAATATATTATACAGTAAGTTATAGACTGTCTAGGTATTGTCATGTCAGGTCCTATCATGAAAACGTAAACAAAAATCAACTAAAGGCAAAAAAGATCTGGAAAGATCAGGAAGACTATTGTTACAGTATAATTAAGGCATGTACAGAAATTGTTATGACAACATTATCATTCTAAATCAGGACAGCTTTGGATTAATTAAGTGGGAATAAATATGATTTATCAAAGACAAACTTAACACTGTTATCAAACACAATGTTGCTATGAAACTTGGGAACTTTAAAAATTAATCTAAAAGGAGTTAATTATGCATAAAGCTAAAAAATGGTAGTTTGGAAATAATGCACATATGTATTTTTAGAGAAAACCCACTGTGCAATATTATCAACACCATGCAACATTGAGTAACATCATGCAACACTATATAACAAGTGACAATTAATATATATACTATTTAAGAGAAAGTAAACCATGCAATACTGTGTCATGCAGCTGTGCAATAGCATATATTATGTAACAGTCAACAGTGTGTACCAATTATGTAACTGTATAATTTTAGGTAACAGTGTGCATATGTTATCACTATGTACAGTAACACTATGCAATTATATTGCTTTGTAACATATGATGCAATTGTGTAAAACTAATGTAACATATTGCAACAATATGTAACATATTTTGTTTCCCTTTCATTCATGCCTCAATGTCCATGCAACAGTTGTAACAGTGTTATAAATGCCATATAACCAAGTACTAGCATTATATATAGGGATCGACAGAGTATAAACAATAACTGAACTAAAACATCCCGATTATGAAAGGCCTTCGCTTACTGTTAGTATATTTTTTCAAGTTCTGCTTATTGTATATTTTTTCAAGTAGCTGTTATCTCTTTCAATCTGCAGCTGTCAGAGTCAATGATATTACTGTATAAATAGGGGAAGTGGGCCTACAAGCTGTTCGATCAGACTTGGAGACTCCAAAAGTTGCCTGCAGAAAAGTTTGTCAAAAATTTTGGTAACTTGTGAATGAAACTCTTAGACTATCAAAAAATCCATCAAAAACAAGGCAAGTAGGAATAAGTGTCTCTTTCCAAATACATAAATATAAACCATATTCAGCAGGTCTATTGTAAAGTATGAATTATTTTCACCCTATTAAATAGCACTAATTAACTCAAAGAAAACCGATTATAGATGCATTATTGCCCGAATGCAAATTTAAATATAGCATTTTAAATTTAGCATTGAGGTAGCTGGGCGCTCAGAAAACAGCTTTAAGAGATTACTTTAAATGTTAGGATAACAAGCATATTAAGTAAAATCTCATTTGTGAAAGCTTGCTTATGCATAAAGAGCTTTATATAGGCTAAAATACGCGTTTATGAATAATTTCTAATTGGCACCTTTGAATGCATTGTTGAGCACCCCTTGTCCAAGATCGTCAAATACGTTTCTTTGATCTGCGTATTTTGGGTTTGTACCGACACACATGCCTTCCGCAGTGACTTCGTAGCCATCATGAGACCTATATATTTGATATAATATATATTTGAACAACGTGTAATATTCATATACAAACCCACAATATAACAAATGAGTATATATTTGCATATATTTGTTAATGTCTGCAAACTTTGGACACACTCACCAATATGAAAAGTCAAATGTGAACTGAAATAAATTAATATAACAGTGTTAGAATATCAATGCAAGCGGTAATTGAAATTAGAATTATCATACATTTATTTAACGACTTTAATATGTACGGTGTGAAAATCTATTCTTGTCGACAAGGAATTAGTTCACTAGAATTCACTCTAAAATTTATAACTAAACAGAATTCACTTACTTCCTTCGGTGGTTGGTCTAAAACAACAACGACAAAAAGTATTATAAGTACAAATATTTTACTTTAATATTTCTAAGAACATGATAGAATTTGATTCGAAATTTCCCGAATTTGAACAGTTGCAAATATAACATTTATTTGTTACATTCAACGGTTCAAGTATTTCAAGCGGGTACCTGGGTTTTCGGGGTCTTGTATTCGAGTCATAGTTTTGGTCGGCATGTCGATACAACATTTTGAATTTCGGTCCTTTTCCCTATATGAAAATATAATACAGGTTGCAGACTAATGGTACAGATAAAAAAGAAATTGGGCATTTAAATTTACCTTGAATTGAAGGGACGCACACGAACGGCGACTTTAACTCTAAACAAATCGTAACAAACATTAAGTGTGAAAAATCACTGTGAAATGACTTCAAAGGACTGCTAAGCTTTTACTTACGATTCAGCCATTTCTTTAAACAGCTACAGTGTCACAAGTCGCTCTAAAAAACCACTCAAATCCCGACTTCTACCCCGTCCGCAAACTAATAAAATTGGACGTCCATATTTTAAATTCGGCCTTAGCAACCGGAAGATTTTATGGTGACCATAGCAACTGCATAAGCGTGGGAGTGTGGCTATTTTTTACCAGACAAACGTTTTGTGTATTCTTGTGTAGGGGAAGCGACTTTAGGCAAATAGTGCTTGTGCAATATGTACTGAAGTCAATGGTTATGTGTAAGTTTGTCTGGAGTTGTTTTTATTATGGAGTGGTATAAAATCTAGCCGAATCATGCTATATAGAATGCATGTCGTGGCTCCATACAAGTTTGTCATAACAGCTCGATTCGGTAAATAAACTTATAAACAATTTAATATAATTTCTTTTAATCCTCATAGTTTTGAACTGCTAAGAAAACAAGCACATATAAGATTACAAATTACAGCCAATATGCCCTCCCCCAGAATAGGTGCCCCCTCTTCCCACAGGACTACCATTCGTCCCCAATGATTTGATCCGTCATCTGTCCATGGAGTGATAGCTGGGGGGGGGGGGGGGGG